TTTGATATTTAATTCAATATTTCTCCTTTCCCTTTCTTCCCTACAAGTCCTCCCATATAATCCTTCCTGCCCTCCTTCAAATTCTCGGGCTCTTTTTTCATCATTGGCATGACATACATATATGTATTTGTATTATATACATATTCCTAAATATAACATTTTGAGTCTATGTAATGTTACTTGTATGTGTATTTTCAGGGATGTGGTTTCTGGTAGGTCAATGACACTCTGGTGGATGATCCCACACCTAGGAGTATATGGGCAGCACAAATAGGAGCCATGGGTTATTTAAAAATAAACAAACAAATAAATAAGAGGACATGAATGTGGGGGAGGGTAGCAGATGAGGGTGGATTTGGGAGGATTAGGAAGAGGAATTGGGGCGATTTTGATAACAATGCATTGTATGAAATTCTCTAAGAACAAAAACTTAAACCTAAAAGAAAAATCTCCTAAAATAAGATATGTCAGACATATTCTATGAGATGGAACCCATTCTTGGCACTGCTATTCATTCTCAGGGCCAAGACCCTGTGGCTAGATAGATCATAGGCCCTAGGGAAGAACCTAGCACTATTTTCCCACTAGATGGACATAGTATGAAAATAACTCCTGGTGACTTATTGCTTTACTCATAGATCAGTCCACCTGTCAGTCCTCACCAGAGGAGCAACTTCTTGCAACAGATGGAAACTAACACACACATCCACAACTGGTCAATGTACAAAGAATAAGAGACTGCTAAGTGTTCAGATTTAAACAATATGTTTATAACACCCCTCTCCCTAAGGCTCAGGAATCTTTGAGGCAGAGGGAACAGAAAATTGTAAGAACCAGAGACAGTATGCAACTTCAAGAAAACAGTGTTTTTCTGCCACACCAAGGAAGTTACACATGTGAACTCAAAATGATCGTGACAGCATGCACAAAACTTGTGCAAGCTCAAGATGGATAAAATTGCAGTATGGGGGTACAGGGCAGGGGGATGGTGGGAGAGAGCCATAAGGTCTCACTCCTAGCTGAGAAGCTATTGACCTCTGGTAGCTGCTGAGAGAAAGTCATTTTTTGTTTATGGTGTTACCCTTGGTAGGCAGACCACACTACAGGGCAGGCCCCATACCTAAGAGTAACTGAATAATACAAACTGGAACCAATAGGGTTTAAATAAAAGAAGAGAATGTGAAATTGTGTGGGTAGGGAGGTAGGGTAACTCTGAGAGGAGTTGGAGGAATGAGTATCATCAAAATATATTCATTGTATGAAATTCTCAGAGTTGATAAAATAATATTTTTAAAAGATATGGTAAAATGAATTTTAAAACACAATTTTATCATATTACTATCCCCTTTAAAAACATAAGATAAATTTTATACACTCTACTTCAGTATTACCCTTTTGGTATACATGTTTTATGGTGTGCATTTTTATTATTTAGAAGAACATTTACTTTTAAGCATGAAAAGAAACATTTATGTGTATGGAATAGATGCCCACGGGGATGACGATCACTCTTACGGGGCAGAAGGTCTAAAACCTTCCAGGCATAGGAAGATGACCAGAAAATATGCAAAGAAGTTAATTGCCAACAAGGAAAAGAACACAGACAATGTAACTCACAGATACATACTAGCCAAAGCAGCCCCCGAATGACTAGAACACGTGTTCTGGAATAACCCAAATTCTGTGGCAGTGTTGAGTAAACAGAATCTCAACAATGAAATCCAGCACACGCACAGCAGAGGCAGGGCAGCATTGAAGCAGGTTCATTCCCTCATCAGGAATTATTCACTATTAATTTGTGCTGGGCTCTATACTAGGGCTTGAAATGATCATGAATTTGTTAGAGAACATACTTTGAGGAGCTATAGGCTAGTGGAAAATTAAACATATACCCATGCAAATACACTGTAACTGAATTTCAGAAATCTCTACAAGAAACACTTATACGCCCCCCATGCCTCCTCCACCCCCATATCTACACAAATATTTTAATATCTGGGGCCAGGAAGTGAACTTCTGCATGAAGCCACACATGTCTCAATATATTCAATCAGTTCTTGTATTAAGTGTTAAGTATTAAGGACATTGGGATTAAGTGTGAATTATTCCTAGCCACTTATGGGCTAGAACTTCATATAGTTTAGTTTTAGTCCTATTAAGCATAATTATATATAAAATATATCATACATCTATTTGTGGTTCTGGTGTTTTCAACTCTTCAAGACTAAGTGGAGCCTTAAGAGGTGAAGCCTAGCCAGCAGAAGTTGGAGATCCGCCCCGGTTCCCCTCTGGTTAGAGGGTTTCAGTTAGTATCTGGTTACTGGTCCCTCTACCTAGATAACAACCCTCTCCTGAGACCCTCTTCATTCTTACAGCATGTACTCATTACTTTTGCTGTGCTGTAACAGGCATCTGTCAAAAACAAACCAAGAGGAGAATGAATTGGTTGGGCTCACAGTTTCAGAGGGTTTCAGTTCATGAAGGCGGGGAAGGCTTGCTAGATAAGTGTCATTCACAGCAGTGAGAGTTTCATCATAGTGGATTAGGAAGCAGAAAGCTTCCAGAGAGGAACCAGGGCAAATCTATTTCCAGTGCCGACTTCTACCGGCTTGGATCTGTTTCCTAAGGCCCTACTTCCTGCAAAACAATAGCATCACTGGGGACAACTGTTCAAAACATGAGCCTGTGGGGGCATTTCAGATTCAGATCATAACACCTGATGCCCTGCACTGTGGTGCTCACTCCCCAGGTCATAGATGTCCTCATCACAGCTACAGTGTCATCATACTCTACATCATCAGGGGTGGTGAGTTTCTTCCTTCCAATACCTTCAGCAGGAATACCATGGTGCACGATTGGTCACACAGGAATGGCTGTCATTTTAGGGGTGTGTATTAGTTACTGTGCTCATTATTAACAAAATACTTGCTAAGAAGCAACTTAGGGAAGTGTTTATTTTGCAATATACAGCCCATCATGGAATCTGGAGCACCCACAGTCCGGAAGCAAAGAGCAATGAACATCAGTGCTGAGCTCATTGTCTCCTTGTCACTCAGTCTAGGACTCCACCCCATGAAACAGAGTCACCACATTTTGGGTAAGTCTCCACTGTCTAGTTAAACCTTTCTGGGAACACCCTCAGAAACACACCCAGGGATGTGTTTCCATTATAAATCCTGACAAGTTAACAAGATTAATCATTACAGGGAGAGATGTTGTGGTTTTTTGGTTTTTTTGTTTTTTGTTTTTTTTTACTTTTCTGAATCTTGGGTACCCAGCAATTTCTAACCAGTCATTTCTCTAACTACACCTGGCTCTTTTGGTACAAGATTAAGAACATTGGTTGGGTTAAGAAAGCAAAGCTTTCCAGACCTGCAGCAGCTCCGTAATTTTATGATTTAACTATTTCCCAGTCATGTCAGCTATATTAACATTGACTTAACCTTGCGGCTGAAGTAACACAGAACAAGATTAGCCAGTATAATAATGCCACCACAGCTTGTAAGAATTCCTCTTCTCTCTCATTTCTCATTGTATATCCTAAATTGTACAGATCCACTGTTAGCCAATTTGGCATTTTAAATTATTTTTTTTGCTTTTGTGCATAAAATATCAAGCTATATATTATGTAAACTACATATTATGTAAAAGAGTAGATCTGTTTTAAGTGAAATAAATGCACATGCATTCTGTTTACTCTTTTAAAATGTTACCAATATACATCAGTTATGTACTGAATACAAGAAGCTCCTTTGAACTTACAGCTTCATAAAGGGGACAGACATGGACACCAATAACTGCTATGTAGGCCAATGTGACAGACAGAGTAATGGCCACAGCAAGGGGAAGAAGAGGAAATTAAACTGGCAGTGGAGGAGCCAAGGAAAACCTGGAAGAAACAATGCAGAAGCAGAGCCCTAAAGATGCACAGCAGTTCCCAGGACGAAAGACGACAGCACTGAGATACAGGAAAACAGGCCTGCCCAGGGCAGAGGGCAGGAACAGCCTGTGATACTCACAGCAGGCGCAGAAAGATGACATAGGAAGGGGGGGGAAGATGATAGAAGAAGGGTAGGGGGGCACTTACAAGAGGTTTCTTCCACAGCAGAAGGCATCTAATCGTTACAAAACCTCCAAAATACTCCAATTGGGAGAGCCCACCTTCGGTTCACATCTTATCAGATCATTCCTGAAATAAACTGGAGGCAAAAGAAGGTGAGCATGAAGCTGCCTACTTCAGCTGAGAAATACTGCGGGCTGAGGAAAAAAGCAGCAAGATGAGAGGATGGAGAGAACAGATGTAGAAGGCATCCTAGAGGCAATGCCAGCAGGGACGGGTGACAGGCTGCGGGTGGGACCTAAGCAAGCAATCTCGGCCAGGAAGACCCCTGAGTATCTTGTGATAACCAAATCTTCCCCGCAACAAAATTACCTCTCTCTGGCTGTGAGGCCATCTGGCAATGTCCAGCCCATGGCAGCCTCCATTTCCAAATGGAATCCACGAATCAACAGAAATGATTCCTAACGTATATCAGATCTTAAAGTCCGAAGGGCCAGAGACCAATCAACTGAATCAAAGTATGTAAACCACCAAAGGTTCCCCTCATGGAGCTACAAAGTATCGCACATTAAACTTCGAGGTGAGTAAATTAAGCCATGACTAGGTGGTATATTGTTCTTGGGAAATATTTTATCCATATCAAGTACTGCCAAACCAATTAATAACAGCTGAGTCTCCATATGCCAGAGCAATCAGGTCTATAGCCAGACATTAGGGAATGGAGTCGTCATCCCCAATTTCTATGTTTCTCTAATACTCATAAATATTTAAGTTAAACTGCAAGGCAGAAAGGTCAACTTAACACCAGGAAGCTAAGCTGAAAACCATACAGCTTCTGCCTCCGTTTGAATTAATATCCTGGTACTCACACTTCTATTGATTTCTGAAGATGGTTTTATGTTAGATATTTTCTATTTACACTAAAGAAACACAATCCATATTCACTTTAATGTACCATTTGATTTATTTTTGACAAGGGGGAAATCCGCATACTTTCTTCACACTGGTACAAAACAGTGAGGATGGCTGTCATCATATGACTTAAGATGCTGGGCAGTCTTCATAAAGGACTTCATCTACCTTCATGTCATGCTCATCCACTGGGACCTGGGGGCAGATCTGCTCTTTGAAAGCCAAAGCCAAGGTGTAGGGCTTCACTTCCTGGTGCTGCACACAGCGCTTCAAGTAGGTGTCATAGTAGCCCTTGCCCCGCCCTAGCCGGTTGCCATCTTTGTCAAACCCAAGGCCTGGCAAGAAGATGAGGTCAAGTCCACCTGTGGAAATAGGAATGTATATGGAGTATCAATGTTTATTGTAAGATCACTTCAGGATAGCATCTGTGTTTTAGTTCTTATAACAATAATCTTTTTATGATTTCTAAAGAAAGACATGATCTTTGTGAAATTATGAAAAAATCAAGTTGGGCAAAGAAGGAAATAATTCTCCAGTGACTTAGTTAGTCCTGCATCTATCCTGCAGCAGTTCTTGGTGGGCCTCTATACAATGGCAGATTGCTAGCCCCATCCACACCAGCTAGAGGGTTCTCCATGGGCAGAGCCTCAGAACTTCCATTAATTCTAGCATGCACCTCATTCTACACAGTGTCTGGTTTGGGAGGCAGTAGCCTGGATAATGACAGATGGAAAGGTGTGAGAGGTTAAGGGAAAAGCAGAAAGGACAGAGCTATTTCCATAGCTCTTAAGAGTACTGAGCAGCCTACCCATCTTCCTTTCCCTCCCATTGACAGGCAAGAGCAAGCTCAGACTTTCAGCTTAGCTGTGGGCTAACCACTCAGACAACACTGCTGGCAAGGCATATGATGGTTGGAAGTCAAGGACTCTGCAGCACAGGGTGCTAGAAGTAGTGTTGCTCAGACTGCCAGCTAGACTGGCCCCTGCTTCAAGCAGCTGCTGACTTCCTATGAGGTGAACTCCACTTCCTGTTCCTAGCATGTACCTGACCACCCTGCCTGCCAACAACCCACTGAACAGGACACTCAACAGCTCAGGTGCAGTCAGATCCAACCCTCCAAGCCTGCCTGTCTATTCCAAGCCCTGCTTGCTAAGATGGTGATGTCACTGACCTTTTCTCTCTCCCCTGTCCCATTCATTCATCTCTATAGGATTGAACAGTGTCCTGTACACTTGGACCTTACCTCCTAGGTCCTCTTTATGTTTCCAGCACAACTGACTTAAGGTTCCTGTCTTCTAAACCTGTAACACACATGCATTTTCTATGATTTCTGCCTCTCCATGGTGAGAACTGTATTTTGCAAAGTCCTCAGAGGGGACAGAGTCCCTGCCTTCAAGAGATGGCAGTTCAATTAAAATAAAAATTCAGGCCAAGGCCAAGACAACATCTCTATCAATTGTCCCCAAAAACAGAGAGAGGAGCTCTAGAGACTCCAGCAGAAAGTAAGTAAATCTAGATGGGTGACAAGACCAGGTTATAGGGTATTTTGACTTGTCATGCATCTTTAAGAACATGTCAAGAGTCAGGTTATATTCTGGAAACCAAAAGAAGGGTATGAGCAGAAGTGTGCTGAAGAAAGGGCAGGCACAGTTTTGTTTCCCAGAGAAGGAAGAGAGGGGTAGAGTAAAAGGACAGACCCAGTTCTCTCCAGCACTAGCCATAGACGTACAAAATGCTAGGACAATAACATGCAGATTGGTCACAAAATTAAAACTAGAACTACCATAAAAATCTAGCAGTCCTACTCCCCTGGATTATCCACAAAAATTAAACGAAGATCTTAGAGGAACTTTACACACTTCATTGTAAAATTGTATACAAGCCAAAAGGTAGAATACCCTAAATGTTCAACACAGTAGCAATTGATCAAAATAAACAAACAAAAACAAAACCCATGGTACACACATATGGTAACATATTAATCTGCCAGAAAATGGAATAAAATTTTGTAATAGTGGACATGGATGAACTGTGAGGATACTATGGAAAATGAAAAAATCATATAAACATATGCACTATATGATTCCACTTACAGGCATCTAGAATAGTAAAACTTTTATAAAGGAGAATACCATCTGCCAGGGGCCCGGGGAAGATGCTTTTGATAAACATAACATTCAGCATTTTAGTCATACAAGATGGAAAAGTCCTAGAGGTCTGTGATATGACACTGTGCTTACAGTCAACACAAATGCACTCTAACTATAATTTAAGAGGTTACATTCCATGTGGCATACTAGATAACATAATAAAAAGTATAAAAGCCAAGCAACAAAAAGGGAAAGCAACAGAACAGCTAGGACATCCACCAGTGCCAACTCCTAAGGAGAGAAGGCAGAATTTTGGAGCTGCCACATTTACGCTGGTGGAAGAAGAGAATGGAGAAAGGAAACAGGCAAGGAAAGCCATCCTCAGCCCTCAGGCTGGAGTCAAGCTTGCTGCCACTACCCTGCTCCTCCCTGTGCTCGGTCTGCTGCTCTCCCTGGGGTCTACCTCATAGAGCTGAGTGTATATGTCTTTGTCGATTACTCTGGGCAGCAAATTTCCTTGCAGGCCATAATTTTTCCCAAGCCATCCTTCATGCTTGGATTTTAATAGACTTCCAGAGCACAAAGACCCTGAAAGATGAGTACATTATCTTCAAACAGATCAATCCTGGCATGACATCCCCACTTTAATAACTCTAAGTACATATATTTGTATTAAAGAAGTAACATTATGGGACAAAATGAGTAAATTTACCTTCAGATGCCTGCTAGTTTGACGTGAATGCTAGAGCTGTTAAGCAGAAGTGAGAATGGCCTTTGGAGTGTTGAGTAGCTCAGGGATCTGAAAATGCCCTTCAGGGGTCCTGGCATTCTACTTGGGACTTTGGCTGTGTGTCCCTGCCCATAGGATTACCCCCACCCAACACTCTTCTCCCATTTGTGGGCTGTGGCCCCTGGTATGCTCCCACTTCTGCTATCTCATGAATCTGAGTGTTTTTCTGGATACATAGTGTGTTCCTCACTTGACTTCATCTATATGTTGTTGAAGTTCTTCCTGTGCCTTGCCACCGACCTTTATTCCCTTCTCTCCTCTTCCTCCACACACACACACGGGTACACACACACCCCTCTGGGGATATTCACACACCATAACACTACTTCTGGATGCCCCCTTTCCCAATGATGAAGAAATTATGGGGATAAGAAAATCAGGTAGGGGCTCAACAAGTTTTCCATGCCATACACACTAGAGCATGACCCTAGGCACACACTATTGTACCACAAAGTCAAAATTCAGTAGGAAAAACAGAAGAGCCTTCCTTCTTCACACATACTCTTCCTGCAGCTCTGGCATGGCCCTGTTTACAATCACCAAAGTCTCATTAACAGAGGACAATGGTATCAGCACAGTCCACAATCCTGCTTTTGCTTAACCCTGTGTGCTCTCGCTTCACAAGTCCCACTGCAGCAGAATGTAACCAGGACAGCCAAAGAGCTCCACTCATCAGGATTCCAACAGGAACTTCAGGAAGAGGTCTCTGGGATCACTAAATCCTTCAACACAGTCATAGTTTATTGTTTGTTTATCCTTCTTGGGAGAGGTGTAGTTTCATAGCTTTCTTGCATTCAAAACTGTAAAGCTTACCTTTGCCCCAGCCTTATACCCTGTGTTTGTTTGCAAACTTTTCTTTTTTCCCATTATTTGGTACTGCTCTGAAACAGCAGCCTTCTTTGAAGGTAGCTGGTAAGGTGCAAGGACCATGCTCCTTCCTAGCTGTGGGTTCAAGGGCGAGTCACCTTCCACTCTGTGTTTCAACATTACCACCTGCAAATCTGCTTGGTCCCCTGCTGGTCACAAACATTAAATTAGATAAAGCTTATGAACTCTACAGTTAAGTACCGCCTATGATAATCACACTTATTATGAGACTTTCTCTTGTGAATTAAGAAATATGAGGCACCATTTCTTGAACAGGCTGGCGGAGAAAGGGATGGAGTTCCTTGGGAACTCTCAGTGAAATCAAGCATACCTACTTACACCCATCTTCCCTTAGAACCGATTCTTGTACTCTTTCTTCCCCAGATCTCAGCCAAAGAGGGAACAAGAAAACAAGGAAAGTGCAGGTAAAGAACCAGAGTTGGTTTGTTGAGTTTTGTTTTCTGTAAAGGACCATGTAATAAATAATTTAGGCTATGAGATACTGTGGGCCGCAGGTCAGTTTTGTACTGTGAAAGCAGCCATAGGCAATATACACATGGATAACTGGCTATGTTTATTTACTAAAATGGGTAAATAAGTATCCACCAGTGCCCAGCATTAGGAATCAAGGGGTGAGTAAAAGTGCTGCATCTTCAGGCAGGCAGGAGGGGGCAGACTGCTCTTCACTTCACACATGGAAAGCAATTCAGAGAGCTCAAAGAGCTCTTCAGTCATTCATTTCAAACAAGAAGCCATCACAGGAGGGGCAAGAATCAGGACCTACACTGCTTCCATTGCTAACAGGTACAAGTGTGGCTGAGCAAAGAAGTGCAAGAAACACAGCCACAGGCCAACTACTTTAGAGGCCATGGTCAGTGTAAAAACACAGCTTTCACCTCAAAAGGAATAAGGGATAAATTATTCTAAAGCCAAATATTAGTGATCATGGGCCAGGAACATGGATTCAGGTTATTCCAAATACCAAGACCCAGAGTGGTAACAGTTTTGTGAAATTGTTATCCTTACAGAACAAAAAGTCATAAATCAAGACACTCTTCAAATACATGGTAGGAGCATCAGACAGGCCAGAGACAGCAAAGCAAGGGAATCGTGGTTATAAGCTTCAGGTAGCATCTGGTGGCATTCTTAGCCTTTGGGTTGGTGGTAATTAGTGGTTTGTGAGTACATCACAAAAGGGTTTCCCCTGGAAATCACAAGGATGCTGGATATAACACAGAGCTGGGCAATGAATAGCTACTGGTGTGCTATAGATAGCTCATGATAATTTAGTTACACACCTGCAGCATTCCAACTCTCCACAACCACATAAACCCTAGAAAGCTTTGCAGAATTCTTAACATAGGTGAAGCTTTTTTTTTACAACATTTTACAACATTTTATACAACATTTTTTACAACATTTTACTGAGAGATGGACTGTGCAGGCTTTTGGACAGGCTGCCAGGTTGGGATCCCAGCACTACCTTGTATTTAACTATGAAACATCAATCAAAACCACCTTCATCTAAACCCTTGAGTGAATAAGCATATTATGATGTAAAGCTTCCCTGAACTATTAATATCAAATGTCAACTTAATCAACAACTGAATGCCTA